CCTTCCTTTGTAGGAAGTCTTCGTTTCACTTCTGATGCCAGGAGCCGTGAAATAGTGAATATGAAGTAAACTGCTTTGCTTGAGCAGTGCTGTACCTAGCTGTTGATAGCTGAAGCCATGCCTCCAGTGCAAAGCATGCGGGAGGGAAAATCCCAATCTCTTCTATCCACGTTTTAGTGGCATTAAGTTACAAGGACTCCCAAACTGTGCATCACTACCGCTTACAAAGAGCAGTAAGGAAAATGATAGCCTGCACACTACTAGAGAAATGTCCCAGCTGTTAATTTAGAGTCCAAAGCTAAGTAAGTTTTACTAGAGTGAATTTATGACTGCTCATTATTTAACTTAGTCTAGGATCATAATTAAAGATGGTACTCTAAGGCGAATTCCCACTGATGGGAAACAGCATCATTTGAGACTCCAGCAAAGAGTAATCAGACACCTTTGGGGAAGTAATCAGGCATCTGTGAAAGAAAACTCTGATGTCAAGAGCCCCTCACATGGGATGCTTGTTTAAGTGTTGTGAGGCTTGCAGCACGTTTAATGAGACAGAAAGGTTAAAGGGTTTTTTTTCAGCATTAAAAAACATAAAGAGAAAGAAACAACATTTGATGCTCCTAATCAGCAGCAAAATAAAATGGGCAAATAGTGTTGCACATGGGGTACAACCTAAACCAAGGAAATGAAACACCTTTTCCTCCTGAGCTTCAGTGCCTACACCTTTACCGAAGCAGGCAATGTTTTGTAAATACATCTCTGCTTGATGGGGCAACATGTGAAAGCAGTAAGGAACATGCAGAGTTAGGTCCTTGAACTGGATGGACTTTTATTAAGAATTCTGCCTATTTATCCCTGAAGAACAATGCACACTATTAAACTGATAAATAATTAGGAATCCCTCTGGCAAAGCTGCTTGAAAAGACAGGAATGGAGTATGTGATGTGACAGAGCAACACAGTCCTGAGCCACAGAGGCCAGGCCAGAGAAGAAAGGAAGCAACTTCAATGGCGATGGTCGTGTGCAAGAAAATCAAACACTGTCTCTGATACTTGCAGTATCTGATGAATATTTTACTGATACATTCCCGTTTAATGTCTGTACAGAAAACCTCTAACTTTGGAAAACTTTATATAAATCGGTACTGTAACACTGGTGAGCCCTCTTGTTAAACTTTACAGGCCTGATGATCTGCACTATTTAACAGCACGATCCACTGTGTATCTTGAATCTCTGAAAGTGCCATTTTCTTAAAGAATATTGTTGTATGATGGTTTATTACTAATCCACCAGTTGCTACAATTACATAGCTGAGCAGTATTCGTCCTGAATGGTGTACTTCAGAAATCAGATATTTAAAGATGATCTGTACGGTTTCTTGAAACAGCTCCAGGGTCAACTTCAGAATTAAGCTCAGCTCATGGGCTCTGATTCAGCAAAGGTCTTACGCATATGCTTTTATTGCAGACATACGAGCAGTCCTCAGGAGAACTATTTTAAATCAGCTTTTGCCAACGGGAGGAAGGAATGAGATAATGGAACCAAAGAAAACGCTTCTTGCTAAATACTAACACAAAAGGAGAACTGGAGTTTTCACTCCCAAGTGAAAAATTAGCCCTCTACACTATTTCAAATCAGCTAAAATATTCTCACCATCTTGTATTCTGATGACTGAAAAGACCGCACCTCCCTTCATTGCCTCTTAAAAATTAAAAAAGAGGAGGGAGAGAAGAGTAACTGCAAAACAAAAGGCTGGTAGCATGCATATTGGCTAACAAACTGGATCCAAATGTACTGACAGTTTTGGTTGACCTAAAATAGCCTTTCCCAGAAGACATTTTATTTACCAAATGCCACCACTTACAGGGCTTTGCTAAGGAAATGCTCAGAGGACTGGCATAAAGTGAGAAATAGTTTTCCTCCAGTGTATCTGCAGGTTACGCTACTGGCCATGGTTCTGTGACCTGAGATAGCTTTGATAGCTGGGAGAAAAGACGTTCCTGTTCGGTGCCAAACTGTTTAGGATAGCAGGTTTGTCAATGGACAACTGCAGAGCCGCATTGCTTTGTGCTGATCTGAAATTCCCTATTCACCAGGGAATTCTGAAAATTATTCTGAACATTATGCAAATTGTTCTGGGCACATTTTCCTCCAAAATAAGGAAGGCTTACATAACGAATGCTACACTGTTTTCTAGATTAGCAATACTGCCCACAGACTTAATAGAGTGTGACAGAGGAAACAAATTGCAAAAATTCACACCGACAAACAAATCCAAACTTCCCCTCCAGAGCTGAAGACCATCACAAACCATATCACCTTGCAGCAAGTAAAAGACACGTTCTTGTGACCTTGCCTTTTTCTACAACACACAAATCTAAGCATGGGGAGGGAAGACAGCAGCCAACGTGTGACAGCCTTTGGTCACATTGCTTAATGCAACGTGGAAAGCATTGAGATGCAACCATGAGGTGTGCAGAAGAATCTGCATAAAATAAATTTGTTATGCTAACCCTACGCTCTTATATTTGTATGCTAGACTGTCTGGCTGAGAAGTGCTCCGTGCACTCGGCTTCTCAGTACTTTTGCATGAATGACACTATATAAAGAGGTACTGTATTTACTAGCTGAATAAACAATAGGTTTTGCTTTCACTCAAGTATTATGACTTCAACTCATTTTATTTATATGTCAGTAGTTCAGAATGTGCAGTGGACCAGGCACATCATCACTGTTCACCTTTGTCAAAGAAGGGGCCAGAAACATCCACGTTGTTATATCTCTGGAACGGCTATAACTCATCCCTGTAACCTTTGGAGGATACACTACAATCCATTTTGTGTTAGCAACATTGCAGCAACCTATTTATTTTTAAGTTCATGAAAAAAATGTACCTATTTTCAGTGTCCCCTGGTGTGCACACAACCCAAAAAGTGACAAGCTGACAGAGCCGGTACAAAAAGACTGGCTGCCCAGCCATTAGCCTCCTATAGCAAAAGCTCAACAAAAAAAAAAATCACCGACTCTAGCATCATCCCTGCCATTAGACGGCACGCTGAGTGCTGTCAGATCACGGGAAATGGGGGAATGCATGCCCCCCACCCGAGGGTCTCCCTTGAGCATGTTGGAAGCTCAAATTCCCAGGCAGGCATGAGTGCAGAGCATCACGGTACCTGGACATGATGGGAGAGGACCCAGAGAGAACCTGCTCAGGAAACCAGTCCCCAAGCACGTAAGGTGTCAAGCACTCAGGCAACAAGCTATGTAAACATGGACTAATGTTTGTGCAGCTCCCATGCTGCTGTAGACTGGCTCACATCACGCTAACTAAGCCATGTGCGCTTGGTTGAATCTGGGCCTTAGAGTTCTTAAAGATCTAAGTCAATGTGAATCTTCCCAGTAACTCAAGTGCTCCTTCGATATCAACACCTCCAACAAACGTCAAGATCAGCCCATTAACTACAGATCTTAGTGTCTGCAATGCTCTGTCAAAATTGTGGGTTTCAGCTCTTTTCTATGGGGGTGAAAATCACCTAAAGCATTTTTATAATCTTACAAACTATCCAGTGAGGCAAGGAATATGCAGGCATGTGGCCAAAGCAGTAAAATCTCCTTGAATATTATACCAAATGTACCAGAGGTACCTTGGCTGCACTCAAAATAAAAACTAGTCAGTTTTGTCACTTTTAACATAATGTAACCTATTAACTTTCATCACTGTTCTGGGTAAGTAATATGTACACAGGATATAACTGAAGAAATAAATATTGACACATGTTGCTGTTAAAACACTGATTGAAAACTGCAGGCCAGAGCATCAGAGCGTAGCAGGGTTTCTTCATTCCCAAGATCTCCTCCTCACTTCTGATGTAAATTCTCTGTCCCAAGGCTGCCTTTAACGTACGTGAGGTTTGTGTACGTGTAGATTATATATATATAAATAAGCACGCTCACAGAATAATGAGCCCTGAGAAATATACTCTTCCAGCACTCTCCTGGGAGGGTGAGGTTGCTGAACGCAGCTGTTTTCATGATTCACGTCCCCTAAAAACTACGCTTTCTGTGCCTGGCCAGGTGAAAATGCCAGGTACGAAAGGGAAGCTTGTAAATCTGCTTAGCTGTTTCCTTCTGGCAAACTGCTCCCCTCTTCTTTACCTCTACCCAGAACCGGTTAAGCACCAAGCACTTCTCGAGACTGAAGACTGGGTAGTACATGTCATTCTCCCTACCTATAAATAACACCATTCAATAAAATAAAGGCAAATAAAGGTAGTAAATGATATTTATTTCTAGTCTCATTTTATCCATTACGCATTTCTCTCAGAATTTTCGATGCACTCCTCTAGCCGGGGCTGTCTGTGCCAACGCAATGACTCCAACCTCCCTCTCACCCCCCCCATCCAGCTCATTATCCAGTGCCTGACAGAAGCAAGCGCCAGCTGCTCTACAAAAAGGCACATGAAACACTTCAGCAAGACATTAGAAAATCACCTGCCTATAAGGAAGAGGTTTTTTTCCCCCGTCACTATTACCAACATATTGATACAAATGTTGAATTAAAAGGTCGATGGTTCTTCAAAAGTCTCGTTACTGTAAAAATGAAGCCCATAACCACATCTGGATACTCTATTCCCATTCAAACACCCAATGAGTCAGTGCTAATGGGGCCGAAATTTTACCTCTGACCTCGTCCCTTCATGTTTCCCTTTTGTCAGGCATCTCTAAGGCACTACTGCCAGTTGGCAGAAATAGGGACATCTCCAGTTTGAGACTCACATGTTCTGAGGCTTTATTGCCATGGCACCCTGTGACCGAGAGTTTCATAGGTAATTGCAGGCCCACCCAGGATTTGCTAATCTGTTGACGCATACTAACATGGAATGCCTGCGTACACTGTATTATTTCTCTGGTAGTGCACAGCTATCCTTGACACCATTTGATGACAAAGTAGACAAAACAAATTCTCCTAACAGTCAAGTGCAAAATCTGTAAGTGTCATCTACCTTTGGAAGCTTCCGTGCCAAGTGGATTGTCCAAGAGGTCTGTCACATCTTGGCTCCAAGCATCCTTCACAGCAGACTTAGACACCTTCCTGTTGTTCAGGTTTTGCTGTGGTCGGAAGTTATTCCTCAGGTACTCCACGGACTTGACATGGTCTTGCTGTTCAGTGGTGAATATGGAGTAGAACGCCTCCAGCTGATCACAGCCATCATGGCAGGGGAGAGAAAGGACATTAATTAGGAAAACAATGTGGTGAAATCCGGGTGGCTGATAAGAAAGTAAAATGGCAGGAAGTAAAATGTTGATGCCAAGACTGATAAACCACATGGGAAGTCAGGCTGCCCACTGAAATCACTGCCAACTGTCTTATCTCAGCACAGGGCTTATCCTGCCCAACAAAGGAGAAGGCCTTCCAGCAACCTGTGGACATCTGTCATGGGCAAGGAAACATTTGCCCTTAGACCCCTTGTCTGGAAGGATTTCACGTGTGACACAGCCACACCAAACCCTCCTCACCCCTGGCACTGTTTTGTTTTGCAGTATCGCGTCAAGAAGTGCTTCCAGGTCATTCCACCCCGAGAGCCTTCTCCCGGACAGGGCAGCGCTACCGTAGGTGCCAGGCTAAGCTCCACGGACAGCTCTGCAAGCACGTCCGCAGGGAGGTCGCTGTGGTCGTCACACCTTCACGGGACAGACACCCAAGCCCGTCCGCTGCCTTGTCCAGGAGGAGGTCAGTAGCAGAGTGGAGCAATCTCAGGACTACCTGCTCCAAGCGCCCTGACCTCCCTACCAACCACTGTTCCCTCAGATACCTAGCTACAGGGCGAGAAAAAAAGTAACACAGAATAAATGTATTTAGGCACAGTTAGCATATGCTCCTCAGGGAATAAGTTTCCTCTGTTGGATTCAGATCTGAGCTATTTTTAATAAAATGTATTAACTTCTAAGAAAGAACTGTAATTGGAAAACTTTTCTGTTACTTCATATCTTAGTATTTCTTAGAAAGAAATTTCTAGCCAACTAAGGTGAAAATATTTTCAGCTAATATTTTTTCTCACAGCTATCAAGGTCAGTACAGCGTTTACTAATAGCTTGTTATCATTCAGGTCAAGAATTAGAATTAGTTATGTTGCTGCTGGAAGGACTGAGCAAGACAGAGCAGAGAAGGATTCAGTCCTGATATTGTTTACATCAACATCAATTACGTGTATCGATAGTATGGATTTGGGGAGTACAGAATCTGTCCCAAGACTTTAAAAAGGGGCTTGAATTACACTCATAGCTTAATGACATGTCACTTTGAAAGCTACACCCTTTTCATTAAGATCATCTGCTCTAAAAGCTTTGGAGAAGTGTGTGAGAGTCCTGAAACTCGCAACTGGGAAAAGTTATCATTGTAGCCTCAGTTGATAGTACTGATAAAAATAATCAAAGGAAGGTGTAACAAAGCAGTTAGGCATCCTCCACTGAACCGAGAGGCGCTCACTACCGTTATTTGATTTCCTTCCAAACCAGTAATCTGAACCCCCATTTGCTGTTGCTGTCCAGCTCACCCAGTCTGCTGGGCTCGACAGTCCTGGTTATTAGGCTTAAATACGTAAAATTTCTCTGACCCCCAGGGCAGGAGAGAGTCAATTTTTACACATTTTGTTTCAAAAGTAAGTCCCCTTGGAGCGGGTGGTGCGTTGAGGCGGCTAATGGAGATGTGCATAGGAATGTTATCACTGGGAGCAGCGCATGGATGGCGGGAGGCAGAAAGGATGGACCATGCCGCTCTGGTCCTGAGTTTGGCAGCTCTGCACTAAAACACAAAACCAAGGGAACCAAGTCCTGCTACAGCCAATCACCTCCAAGATAAGAGCACAACTCGGGCTTGTACATTTTTGGCAGTAGCTTTCCCCTGATCACAACTACTTTTAGTGTACAAGCAGGGAAACTGAGGCAGGGGGGCAGCAGTGACCAGCAGGGAGGGGTGACAGCCAGTGACCAGTTCCCACCACAGGCAAGGAGCTCAGGTGCGGCTTCCAGTCTTGCAGGCACTGACGGTGGGATTTGGACTGTAAGTTTTTTGCATCGTAGATGAATGCCCTATTCCCCAGTTCTCAACTGCAATTCTCTCTCTGATTCTTCAGAGGAACATCTTGAAAAATCTTGAAAACCATTTCCTAATTATTAGCAGGAGCCCTTCAGAAGCATTGACAGATGGGTTAAAAAAGGGATAAAGGGACTATTATCTTAGGCTTTTGTCTTAAGAAAAAAACCCAACAGATGATACTGCTATGCCCTTCTAGGAAAGCACAGATCAAAGCTCTTGTGAATATTTAGGTATCTTTTGCACTTCATGCACTGGAAGCGGTTTTGATGAAGCCAGCTAACAGGGCTTAAGGTTACTTTATAAAAGCTCAAGAACTTGGGTAGCAACTGCTTCTCTGAAGTCAAGTCTCTAGGCTTATACTTCCATGACATTAATTGAATTTTTAAACTTTCAGAGAGAACTTTTAAAATATTTTCTTCTGCCATGCTACCTTGGGGAGGTATAATTGCATTTTAACAACTGCCATTTCAAATATGATTTTTAACCTTCCCCTTTTTATGTGTTGAAGTATATATAACTCATTTCAACTTCGTTTTTACTTATAAAAATATTATCTCCCACAAATGAGAAATTAATTTATCTATAGCCAGGAAAAAAAAAAAAAAAAAAAAAGACCTGCAGTCAAGGAGCTACATTCATACTCTTCAAGGAGTACAAGAGCTCCCATTCAGAAGAAGAAATGAAAAGCTGTTATGATACCATTGTAGATGCAGGGAAACCTGATCTAAAACTCAGAGTCATGTAATTACATACCATTAAAGCCTGATGTGCACAGTTTTCTAAGGACTGGATATACAAATGGCAATTAAAAATACTGAAACCGTTATAAGCACAATGAGATACTCTGAGGTATGCATTATGAGAGATAATGCCATGCTTTGGGTCATTGAATGCACTTAGCTTTACAATGCATCTGCAGGGTGACACAGCTTGTCCTGTTTTGTTCTCTAATTATCGGGAAAGATGACGATGATGGAGCACTGAGAATAAAATAGAGAAGCCTCCACAAATGGACCACTTCAGTACTGTCCTTTTTACAGCAAGGTATTTTGCACAAAAGCAAGGATTTAATTGGAACAGCAACAAAGCTTAAACAATATCACTTTCCTCCTCTGGGATTACAGACAGCTTCATGGGGTTTGTGATAAAGAAGGTTAAACTATGGCAATGGATTATGTTGCCCTGTTTCTGTTAAGAGGAACAAATAATAATCATAGCAATGGCAGGGTGGCGGGCTCTTAAAATACACCCATCTAGAGCTGCCAAGGGGAAGAATAGTATTATTTATTCCACATGTGTTGTAGTATCAATGAAAGTCTGTCTACACACAGAATTCCCAGCCCTTCAACCACACACGCATGCATAAAGCAGCACAAGGCCAAATTTTAAAGGCTTGACTTGGCACAGTTACTATTGTACAGTGCAGGAAAGAAGCTCTGCCAGGATAAAGTACCTTTATACCATTATAACGATGGCCATAACTGGTATTTACCAGTTTATTTGCACTTGTTAAAGAAAGAAAAAGAAAAGATGAAGTCATGACCCACCTGATGTGTATACAGGGTACAAAACTGAGCGTGGGCCAGGCCTTGCAGCCACCAAATAATAAACAGTAAACTTATTGATGTAGTGAAAAGCTACAAGGGGATTGCAAGTATCCTGCAGGCAAGGGCAGAATTCAAAATGATCTCGACAATCAGAGAAATAGCCTGAAAAAAACAAAGGGTCCGATTCAACTGGGACCATGTGCAGAGAGTCCCACGCTTCAGCCAGAACCGTGGGCTGCATGAACGCGCGATGTGCCCAGCACGGCAAGAGAGCGCGCTGGG